TAGTTGCACATTTAATTTTTATGAACTGTAATAAAATGCTTGTGATAAATGTATAATGCCTCTGTATTTATCTTAGTTTGATCACAATTTGCAGTAGTTTCATTTCTGAATAGGCTTGTAATATAAAGTAATTTCCTATGCATTTTTTACCAGTAGACGCAAATAATATCTGCCAGAATATCTTATTGATAGTTACAAATAACAAACTGGCGTCAATGTCTGCTGACGTCAAACCGATGACGTTTATTGCATGAAGAATATACTTTAGTAAGCCAATATTAAATGCACCGTATTTTCAATTCACAATCCGTTGCTTTGGTAACATAATTAGTTGCCAGGTAACAGCTTATAACAACTAAATACCCACCCCCATCAGAGATAAGATAGTGATGACATAGATAGCAGAGATTCTAGTAAGTTATAAATTGAGAAAGCTTAAAATATTTTGGTAGTTACTTCAATTACTGCAAATTGCACAATTAGATCCACTCATATTTGTATCACTGGGATTTCAAGGAATGAGCCATTAACACTAAGTAGGTTGTAGTTGTTTTAAAATAGACTATAATGTGAAGCTGGCCCCACGTTTCAAATTGCAAGACCGAAACACCAAATCATTTATATAAAGCAAGCACATAGATAAACCAGGGTGGGATTTCAGACATCTGTGAAGTTGGATGCAAAACAGTATATAAAAAGAGGATATGCTACAGTTGACAGTCAGTTTATAATAAATTATTGCACTGTCGTGTTTTCATATCCTTGCATTCAAAATTCTAGATCAGTTGGTGATATAGAGTGAATCTGTTGGTACACACACCATCTGACTGCATGGTCCATGATGATTGTAATCCAGCCAGGTTTCAGAGATGTCACGACAGAACAGTCAGAAATCACAGTGAAGAGTACAGTTATGGGAGATGCTGTAAACACAGACATGCCAGGAAACAAGATTCTTGAAGTTGTTCTTCTGATAATTCTCATGACAGTCATCATCTTTGGGAATGTTATTGTGTTGCTGTCATTCATCATTTTCAAGAAATTACATAAACCGTATTCAAACTACTACATCCTCAATTTGGCAATCTGCGATTTCACTCTGGGAGTTTTCATCCTCCCATTTGAAATCTTCCGAGCGGTTTCTGAGGCATGGCACTTTGGTGAAATTTTTTGTATCATTTGGTTGACAATGACAGTTACGCTATGCTTCACATCTATACTCAGCTTAGTCGTGATAAGCAGTGATAAATACGTATGTATCATGTGGCCAATTTGGTACTTCGAGAAAATGAAGCCTGCAAGATGCGACTTGTAATTACTGGAGTATGGGTAACAGGGATTCTAGTAACATGGCCGACAAGTATCTCAAGTGGTGCAACAACAACGACCGTCTCTGATGAACAATGCTCAGTTGAAACCATCAATAATCTTATTGTCTTTGCAGCAATAATCGCATTTTTCATCCCGCTGATTATTCTGTTATACACTAACATCAGTATTTCATGCGTTGTTCGTAACCAGTACAAAAAGATCCAAGCGCAAGTCAACTCAGTGTGGGACAATTCAACAAGTCGCCAATATGTACGCAGCCGACAACGACACGCCATTAAGACCACAACTAACCTAATAGTTGTCTTCATACTGATGTGGATGCCATACTTTTGTATGAGTATTGTATACGTGTGCTACCCAGATAATGAAATTGTTCAGAATTTGTTGTATTACTTTGGATGGTTAGGGTATGCTAACTCTGCTATCAATCCATGGTTATATGCTCATAACAGAGACTTCAGGTCTGCGTATAAACAACTTCTCACATGTAAATCTGAAGACTGGGCACGTAGTGGGCCTAAATAACAATT